ATAGTAAGGTATTGACCCGTTCCGTTTGTCCATCCGTCTGTGGGTGGAAACTAGTAGAAAAGTGCAGTTCCGTGCTAAGTATGTCGAACAACTCTCTCCAAACGTTCCCAGTGAAGCGGAGGTCTCGATCACTAATGATATGCCTTGGTAAGCCCCAATACTTTACCATGTTCTTAAAGAATAGCTTGGCGGCTTCCTTAGTTGTGCAACCCGGTGAGGCGGGCATGAAGGTGACATATTTGGAAAATCTATCCACGACCACCATAATAGTACCATAACCGTCAGACTTCGGTAGGCAAGTGATAAAGTCCATAGTCACGCTCTCCCATGGATGCTCTGCAACTGGTAGTGGCTCCAAAAGTCCTCCGGGTTGTTGTTGTTCAACCTTGTCTTGTTGACAAACAAGACAAGTCTGCACATAGCACTCTATGTCATCTCGCATGTGTGGCCAATAGTAGACTAACTCAACTAAGGCCCTAGTGCGACGTTGACTTGGATGACCAGCCCACATTGTGTCATGACTCTCCCTTATGATCCATCGTCTAATGTCTCCAAACTTAGGAATGTAGACCCGCCGACCTGTGGTAAGTAGTAGGCTATCTTCTATCCAAAATCGTCTCGTCTTGCCTTTGTTAGCTAACTCGATAAGCTGTCTGGCTGCTGGATCATGTTGCATGCCTTCTTTTATAGCCTCCCGAATATCCCATCTCGCTAAAGTTATTGCAATAAGCTTGTATTTTCGGCTCAAGGCATCGACTACAACATTACCTTTTCCCGGCTTATACTTCAGCGCATAATCAAACTCGGCTAAGAAATCCTGCCACCTAGCCTGCTTTGGTGTGATCTTCTTCTGTGTCTGAAAGTAGCTAGTAGCCACATTATCAGTCTTGACCACGAACCTCTACCCGGACCAATAATGTCTCTATGTATGAAGGCAATGCACAATGTCAGTCATTTCCTTCTCTTGCACCATGTAACGCCGCTTCATATCATTTAACTTGCGGCTCTCAAATGCTATGGGATGTTTATCCTGCATGAGGACGCCCCCAATGGCGAAGTCTGAGGCATCTGTGTGCACCTCAAATGTCTTGGCAAAGTCAGGTAATGCCAAGACTGGCTCCTCTATTACAGCTGCCTTAAGGCATTCAAACGCCTTTTGACAATGCTCCGTCCAAACCCATGGCTTGTTCTTCTTTAGCAACTCAGCCAATGGTGCGGCCTTTGCTTAGTATCCACTGATGAACCAACGATAGTAGTTAACAAGGCCAAGGAAGGATCTCAACTCAGTTACCTTTATGGGTGCCTCCCACTCCTAGATAGCATGTACCTTAGCCTCGTCCATGCGTAGCTCGCCATTGCTAATGACATGGCCCAAGAAGTGCACCTTTGATTGTGCAAACTCGCACTTCTCTCTCTTAATATATAGCTCGTTCTTTGGCAAGACTTGGAAAACCTTCCTTAAGTGCTCCATGTGTTCCTCCAAGGTGTTGCTATAGATGACTATGTCATCTAAGTAGACTACCACGAACTGATCAAGGTAGAGATGAAAAATATTGTTCACAAGGGTGCAAAATGTGGCCGGTGCATTGGTTAAGCCGAAGGGCATCACCAACCACTCAAAGGCTCTATATCTCGTCACACATGCTATCTTTGGCTCATCCCCTTCCGCAATGCGAACCTGGTAGTAGCCCTTTCGAAGATCCACCTTGGTAAAGTACTTGGCTTGCCCAAGTCTATTGAACAAATCAGCAATGAGCGGGATCGGGTACTTATTCTTCACTGTAACCTTATTAAGTGCTCGGTAGTCTATGCACAAACGCAACGATCCATCCTTCTTCTTCTGGAACAATACTGGTGCACCAAAAGGTGCCTTTGATGGGTGAATGTGACCAGCATCCAGCAACTCTTTCAATTGTTTTTTGACCTCCTCCAACTCGGGCAGTGCCATACGATATGGGGCAAATGCGGGTGGCTTAGCCCCTGGCTCCAACTCAATCTTGTGATCCACCTCTCGCCTAGGCGGCAAGTACTTATGTAACTCCTCGGGCATGACATCTTTGTTCTCCTCAAGCAACTTCTCTATGCAAGGCGGCACTGTCTCTTGAAAATTCCTGTCTTCCTCTAGACTTGCAATGGTTGCCACGAATGTCGGCTCCCCCTTCTTGATCCCCTTGACAAATTGCATAGCTGAGAGTTGTGCTTAGATCTGTCCATGTGGCATAGTCATTGTAGGTACCATGCAAGCTCCTTCTCGCTCCATGACCAAGAGACGTTGGAGGTAGGGGTCGATTAAAGTATAACAATGTCTAAAGAACTCTTGTCCCAGTATGATGTCAAAGATATCCATAGCGGTTACGGTAAAGTTTGTCATACCTTTCCAAGTTCCCAATTTGACACCAACTCCATTAGCTACCCCACGAGCATTTTGTATCTTGGCATTCACGGTCTTGACGCGAGAGTTGGTTGGAGCAAGCTTCAATTCTAGTTTCTTTGCGGCAGCCTCAGACACGAAATTATGAGTTGCTCCAGTATCTATCATTGCACGAGCGGGCTTGTTGTTGATGGTGAGATCCACGTACTGATTGCCATTCTCGGTAGGTTGGATAGCTTATTTTTTGACAGCACCACATAATCCGATCATACCCAACTATGAGGTTCCCAGACTCTCTCTTTGTGGCTGCTCCTTCCGCACACGTACCATGGCACTGAGGCTCTTGAGGTCCGGACAATTCCTGAAGCCATGTGACCCTCCGCACATATAGCATCCCTCCTTCTCGACATGCGCCCTCTTCTCGGTGTAGCCTTGACGGCCACTCGACTTTTTGAAATCTTGAGTCTTGGAGTATTGTTGTTGTATCTCCTTGCCATTGCCACGGTCTCCCCCACCTTTGACATTGTTAACCTTTGACTCATTGCCATTGCCTTTGTCGTGCTTGTTATTCCTTAAATCCATCAATGATTCGGCCTCCACTATGGCTTGGTCTATATCAGTGACTTGTCGGCGTTGCAACTCCTGCTTAGCCCAATTTTGCAACACGTCCATGAAGTGGAATAACAAGTCATCATTGGTCAGGTTGGGGATTTGAAGCATAAGGGTAGTGAACTCCTTGACATAGTTACGTATGCTCCTTGTTTGCTTCAATTCTCTAAGCTTGTGCCTTGCCTCGTACAAGACATTGTTTGGAAAGAACTGTCGCTTGAACTCCGCTTTGAACTGATCCCATATGCTAATAGTACATAGACCTTTATCCATGTCGGTCATCTTCCTTCTCCACCATAGCATGGCAGTCTCTGAGAGGTACAATACCGCAGTATTGATCTTGGCCTCATCATCCCTCACTTTGCCGTGCCTGAAGTAGTTCTCTAAGTACCAAAGGAAGTTTTTCACTTCTTGTGCATCACGAACACCTTTGAACATCGAGGGTTTGGGAGCCTCAATCTTGGCCTCCCTCATCACCACAACATTGACGGCTACCTCAGTCACGCCAGCATTGACATGCTCCTCGAGTGACTCTATCTTTGCCTTCATAGCATCGATAGTACTCAAAGCCTCCATGAGTCTTCACTCTAAGGCAGTGATGGTTTGCCTTAGTTCCATCCCAGTCTGTGTACGTCCCTCCAAGTCATTTCGGATACTCTCAATCTCTTCAAGAGTGTGCCCCTCAAGAACGTTAAGGGTGACTTCCACCTTCCCCAAGCGTTGGCCAAAGATCTCCACGGCGTCCATCCCCGCGTTCATCTTCATCACCCACTCTTTACCGAGCGAGACGTCCTCTAGAAGGACCTCCACTTCATCCTCGCTCGCCTCAGTGGTAGATGGTTCTTGAGATGTAAGCCCTTCGTTTAACACAACCTCAGGTGGCACCTCCTGGCTCTTGTTGGTGGAATTCCTCTTTTTGCTACGGCCGCTCTTGCCAGCAGCATCCTGGATGACGTTAGCTTGGGTGTTGGCAGCGTCGTTCGCCATTCCCTTAGTTGAAACCTTCGCTCTGATACCACGTTGTCACGTCCTTAGTTGTTAACTAAGTACACGTGCGACACTTGACAACTCGCTCACAATCTTGCACAACTTGCTCACATTCTTGCTATGTCAAGTCAGTCTTACTACACTCAAGATCGCTAAGAGAATAGAAGAAAGAACACAAGAGAATTGTTAAAGGAAGCTTTGTATTAAAGAAAACTTGAATTTTTTGCTTGGTACATTACAAATGAGTGGCCCTCTTTATATACTAGTCTCCTAGGGGCTAATGTGTAAATATTAATTATTATATAAGTCCTTGATATTTACAAGATAAGGGCTTTTTCTAGAATTCTCTACATGCCTAGAAAATTCCAAGGACTTTCTTAGCAAATCCATAAGGATCTAGGTTCTTCCTAAGGAAATATCCATACCTCTCTAGAATCTTCTCACAAATGCTAGCCTTCTTCTTACGTAAGCTTCCACATGGCATTAATATATGTCAAATGGCGCCTATGTGGCATGATGACATGACGGGTCATCACATTCTTCTCGAAAAATAAGCCTCAAACATTCAAAGAAGCAACACCTTCTTCAGAAGCACAATATTGAAAAAAGACAATCAATAGTGAGATTGAATCTATATTAAGTAATCACACTTTGAAAATTAGTTCATCTTCCTCCCAAAAATAAACTTTTGGGTTCTCGTGGAAACTCTTGCAACCACACAGAAAAAAACAAAAACGTAGTCTAGCTTAATTGCACTCGTGGAAACTCTTGCAACCACACAGGAAAAAACAAAAACGTAGTCTAGCTTAATTGCATATCGAGAACAACCAGAAAATGATTTTTATAATAAGAAAAAATTAATAAAGAGCATTTCTACGATAATAATGACATAAGCTCTGTTCAATTTCCATACAAAGAGGCATGTTTTAACAACAAAAAGGTGAACAACCAATATTTAAAGAAAGCTTAACTACCAAAACTCCTACCAAAAACTTGACAGAACATCTTTAACAACAAACAGACACAAAAACTCTTAATCCACTTCTTCGATCTTTGGTCCAGCACCACTTCCACAACCAACTCCGCCACAAACAGAAGGACCGTCTTCATCCATAGTAGCTCCACCAGCGCCGCCTTGATACATCTTAGCAATGATTGGATTGCAGATACCTTCCAGCTCCTTCATCTTATCTTCGAATTCATCCACCTCTGCAAGTTGGTTGCTGTCTAACCACTTGATAGCTTCGTCAATTGCATCCTCAATTATCTTCTTATCAGCAGCCGGAAGTTGGGAGCTAATCTTATCATCTTTGATTGTATTCCTCATGTTGTAAGCGTAATTCTCCAATGCATTCTTAGTTTCCACTTTTTTCTTGAGTTCTTCATCTTCGGACTTGTACTTTTCAGCTTCTTGCACCATTCTCTCAATCTCTTCCTTGGAAAGCCGACCCTTGTCATTGGTGATGGTTGTTGCGGAAGCCAAATGTATATAGTGTGAATAAGTCACAACTACTATACCAAAAATTATGACAGCCACCAAATAATAAATAAGACAATAAAGCAACAATAAAAGGAACACCAGAATTTACGAGGTTCGGCTAATTTTGCCTACTCCTCGGACACAACCAATATTTTATTCCACTCCAAAAATACAAGTGAAATAATACTAAAGAGAGAAGATACAAATGCCTTAAACAGATGAGAAGGCAAATGAGAGGTGTGTTTCAATCCTAAACATTAGGCCTTCTTTTATAGGGGAAAAATCCCCCCCAAACTTAACTCCCAACCAATGTGGGACTTTGGCATTTTGCCAAACTTCAACAAATCTCCACCTTGGCAAAATTCCACATTTTCAATTCTCTCTCAATAACAAATTTTGGTTGTGTCTTCATCTTCAATCTTCAGTGTTCAACAATGTTGATCAAATCCAAACAATGTTGAAACTTGACCGCAGTCACCACCTTTGTCAGCATATCAGCAGGATTCTCTGTAGTATGAATTTTCTTCACCGTGACTCCACCTTCTTCTATGATTTCTCGTACGAAATGATACCGAACATCAATGTGCTTCGTCCTTGCATGATAAACTTGGTTCTTCGCTAATTGAATAGCACTTTGACTATCACAAAAAATTGTGATACCTTTTTGTTCAACACCAAGCTCCTTTAGCAATCCTTGAAGCCAAATTGCCTCTTTCACAGCATCTGTAATAGCCATGTACTCTGCCTCTGTTGTAGACAAAGCAACTGTTGACTGCAAAGTAGACTTCCAACTAACTGGTGCCTTTGCAAAAGTAAACACATAACCAGTAGTTGATCTTCGTTTGTCCATATCACCCGCAAAATCTGAGTCACAATATCCAATTACAGACTGATTATCTTCCTGTTCAAAAACTAACCCGACATCTACAGTATTATGAATATACCATAGAATCCACTTCACAGCTTGCCAATGCTCCTTCCCTAGATTGTGCATATATCTGCTAATAACTCCAACAGCTTGTGAAATGTCAGGTCTCGTACAAACCATTGCATGCATCAAGCTACCAACAGCATTTGCGTATGGTACCTTTGACATATACTCTCGTTCAACTTCATC